TTCGACGAGGATCGTGGGGGCCGACATGTTTCCCGATGTGTGCTGTCACGTGCGCAGGCGCATCTGGCAAACTCTGTACGTGCCCCGGAAGTGGCGCACCTGGCGCGGCTGGAGTATGCGGCACACCTGGCGCACGCGGAGCATGTGGCACATCTGGCGCACCAGGCGTGCCTGGCACGCTCGGGCCCCAAGGGTGCCTGGCGCGCGTGGCGCGCCTGGCACGCGTGGTGCACCCCGCCCCAGCATCTCGCACATGGGGTTGGTTTTGGTTCCCAGTAGCTGCCCATCCAAAGACGACCGCTGAACATGCCCAGGCTCGGGTGTTACTTATGTGTTGGGAAGGCTGGTGGGAGTGAACTAGGCGGCTTGCTATCTAGGTGGCGTTTGGCCCCTCCCCCCTACCCCTCCCTGGACCTGGAGGGAGGGTTCCGCGTTCCGCGAGGTGTCAGAGTGTCCATTTGGGCCCAAGATGGCCCAAGAGCGCCTCAGAGAGCCCGATATGACCTCCAAGGCGGCTCAAGACAGCCCAAGCTGGCTCAATATGGTTCCCAAGATGCTTCAAGAGGCCACAGAATCGTTCCAAGACGGCTCCAAATTGTCACGGGGCCTTCCACGGAGGCCCCCGAGAGGCCAACATCCTACACACATTCAATGGGAATCAACGAGTTGTGCCTTCTCGCCGTTTTGCTTTCGATGGCCTTCCGAAGCCTCAGGGTGGCTCTAAGAGAGCCCAAGAGGGCCCCAAAAGAGGCCCAAGAGAGCACCAGAACGGCCCCAAGAGCGCGCAAGAGCGCCCCAAGAGCGCTCCAAGAGAGGCCTAAGAGGCGCTGCTGGGGGCTTCCGATGGGGGAGGTTCATTCAGACACCCCCCCTTCTTTGCTTGAGCTCTTCCAAGATCGCTCCTTCGGAGGCCCCCAAAACAGCTCCAAGAGGCTCCCGAGAGGCCCCCAGACGCCTATAAGCGGCCCCCAAGAGGCCCCCAAGAGGCTCCCAGCGGCATACAAGACGTCCCAAGAAGCTCACAAGAACGCCAGGAGCCTAAGACGCCCCAAGAGGCCTCCAATTCAATTTCCAAGACACACCCCAAAAGATTCTGAATCACATCCAAACGGTCTGTGGCCTTCTGGTTGGCCTCCTCCTCCCTTCCTCCCTCCTTCAACTTCCGTGTCCTCCTCCTCTTCCTCCACTTTCGTATGTGCCCAGGGGGTGCGCTGTTAGACTATATGTGCCTCTTCCGCTCTTCTCCCGTTAGCTATCGTGGGCATCGTTTCTGGATGGGCTGTTGGAGATACCTTTTGATCTGCGGCTCCAAGGACGATTCCAGAGAGCGGGTTGAAAAAGCTTGGGGCAACAAGCAAGATAATTGCCAGCGGGCCAAAAGCCGACGTCGGAATGCACATGCGAGGAACAAAATGAACCTAATTAAGTCGAACCAAAACGGCAGCCACCGACTGACAGCGGGGCGTCGCACAGTGGCGCCAGCACCCGACAGACCGGAAGGCGAAGGGCAGGGCACGGCGGGCAGCTGAAACCCTGGCAGAAGCCCGCCCGTGAAGTGCAACGAAGGCGAGCAGAAAGGGGGTACGTAAGCCTCACTCACAAAGCACCTCATGTGCTCGAAGCTGGCATCACAGAACCAGGCGCCAGCGGACTTGACGTGAAGTCGAGTAGAAGCACCAATGCACAAGGGGGGAACGTCACGTGGGCCAGAACGTTATCACCCAATCTGTTGGAGATACGCGAAGCGTCGAGAATTCATTGCTTGAGCCAGGGAGGCTACGGCAGAAGGAACAAGAGGATCAGGAGGAGAAGGAGGGGAGGACCGGGGACAGTAATGCGATCCGCCTCGCAATTGGACGTAGGAAGAGGAGGAGAAAGAGGAGGGATGACATTGCGGGGGGGGGGGGGGGGGGGTGGGGGGGGGGCGGGGGAGGAGGAAAGATGCAGGAGAGGTCCCCCTCCCTCTCCTTCCTCCTCCTCCTCCTCCTCCTTCTCCTTTTCTCCTCCTCCTAGTCTCCTTCTCCTCCTCCTCCTCCTCCTCCTCCTTCTCCTCCTCCTCCTCCTCTCTCTTCCCCCGTCTCCTCTTCCTCCTCCTTGATCCTCTCCTCGACCCCATGTCCAAACTCGCATCCTCACGGATAACTCCTCCACGTGGCACCACCAGGCGCGCAGGTATGGTGGGCAGGGCGTTGCGATTGCAGGTGCTCTTCAAGAAGCAGCGTGAATCTCACCGTAGTTCCGCACACATTCGTGCGACCCCTTCTCCCGGATCGCGTGTTCGTTCAAAGTTTCCTCAGGATCGCAGCGCGAGCTTAACCACTTACTCGGATGAAGGACGGCTACCTTTCAAAAGAAAGCTATATCTTACACGTACAGGGGCGGAGAACGAGGACAGTTCAAAATGAGTCTTTCGCTTGAGAGGGCCGTGAACGATATTGCCATACATGCTAAGACGCATCCTGGATGTACGAGAGCGCGTGATCCACCGCCGCCTTGCTATGGAACATTCCTCCCCTCTTCCTCCGGAACCCAGGGGCCTCCGCCCCCTCTCCGACCCTCCCCCCTGCTCGAACCCTCCCTCCCCCCCATCCCCTAGCAAAACCCCCCCCCAACACCTCCCCCCCTCCCCCTCCAAGAAAACCGGGGAGGTCACCACCGGCTCGAACCCCCCCCCCCCACTCGCCGCCGGCAAACGACTCCTGGGTCCCCACCACCGTCCTCACCACCGCCCTCACCACTGCCCCCACGACTGTCACACTGTAACCGGTGTTCCACCACTGTCCACACTGTCCTCACCAGTGCCCCCGCCACGGTCCCACTCCCCCCACTGTCCCCACCACTGTCCCCACCACTGTCCCCACCACCTCCGTCCTCACCACGGTCCCACTGTCTACACTGTTCCCACCACTGTCCCACTGTCCTCACTGTCCCCACCACTGTCCCCACAACTGTCCCCACCACTGTTGCCACCACTGTTGCCACCACTGTCCCACCAGTGCCACTGTCCCCTCACCACTGTCCCCACGACCACCGTCCCTACCACCGTCCCACTGTCCCCACTGTCCCCACCACTGCCCCACTGTCCACACTGTTCCCACCACTGTCCCCACTGTCCCCACCACTATCGCACTGTCCCCACTGTCCCCACCACGATCCCACCGTCCCCACCACTGTCCCCACCACTGTCCCCACTGTCCCATTGACCCACCACCGTCCGCACCACCGCCCTTACCACTGTCCCAACCACCACCGTCCCCACAACTGTCCCACTGTCTCCACTGCCCCCACCACTGTTCCACTGTCCCCTCACCACTGTCTCCACCACCACCGTCCCCACCACTGTCCCATTGTCCCCACTGTCCCGACTGTCCCCAACACTGTCCCACTGTCCCCTCGCCACTGTCCCCACCACCACCGTCCTCACCACTGTCCCACTGTCTCCACTGTCCCCACCACTGTCCCACTGTCCCCACCACTGTCCCCACCACTGGCCCCACCACTGTCCCCACCACTGTTCCCACCACTGTCCCCACCAGTGCCCCCACTACTGTCGCACTGTCCCCACTGTCCTCAACACTGTCCCCATCACGGTCCCACTCTTCCCACTGTCCCCTCTGTCCCCGCCACTGTCCCACTGTCCCCAGTGTCCCCACCGCCATCCCCACCACCGTCCCAACCACTGTCCCCATCACAGTCCCCCATCCAGAGTGGGGGAGGAGGGGGAGTCATTTGCCAGCGGCGATGAGGGGGAGGAGGGGGTCGAACGGGTAGTGACCCCCCCTCTTTCTCATGATGGACCGGGAGGGGGAGGGGGGGATTGGAACCCCGAGTGACCCCCCCCCCGGTTTTCGAGGGGGGGGACGGGTTTAAACCCCCCTGTGACCCCTCCCCGTTTTCTGCCAGAAGCGGCAGCACACGCTCTTTCGGATCTACGGATCGAGAGCGAGTCTGTACCCGGAAGGGCTCTGGCCTAAATGTTAGGCTCACGGAGCGTTGGTATTTACAGAAGAATCTGCAAGCAGATGGCTTTGGAAAGAAGGGTGCGATGCCCTCCTGCTCCTCTGGCTTCATCCAGCACTCATCCGCAGCGCCGGCGACGGCAAAAATAGGTGTTGGGGGGGGCAAGACACGTGCGGGAAGAATATCAGCGACGGCCAACACCAGCCAACGCCATACGACGGTTCAAGAGGGGACGACATGAGCAACACCACCTCCTCCTCCTCGTGATCCTTCTGTTCCTCTCTCAGAAATCGGCCGCTGGACCTCTCCTGGGGTGCGTTGGGTCAGAAATCTGAGAGCGAGGTCCCCAGGAAACCGAAGAGCGCCCCAAATCCTTGGCAACCGATCCTCGAACCTCGATCCTCCCCCCCCCCCCTCTCCGGCCCCGAGGGGCGACGCTGGGGAGCGGCCGGCTCCGGGGGTAGCATCGAGCTCGAATCGGCGATGCACCGCCGATGGATCGGCGACAGGGCCCCAGATAGCGAAGCCGCACGTCCCTTGGGCGTGGCTTAATGGGGGGGTCACAAATGGGGGGGTCAGAAAAGGTCCCCTCTCGTGCCCCTTTCGGGCCCCTCCAGAGCCCCAGGGGGCTCGTTTAGGTACCGTTTGGGTACCTTTTCGAACCACCCTCGCCACCCCCCCAGTTATGACCCCCCCATTACGCAGCGCCCAAGTCCCATGGCGGGGTGGGCAGTCGGGCCCGCCGTCGGCACTCAATGATGGGCGAGTGGGGCACGGGCGCGTGCCCCCGTGGGCCTGGCGCCGCCACGCCGGGGCGCGCCGCCCCTGCCCCCCCCCCTCCCCCCCCTCCGCCCCCAGAGGACCCGCCCGGCAGTCCGAGGGGGAGGATGGGGAGGGAGGAGGAGGAGGAGGAGGAGGAGAGGAGGAGGAGAGGAGGAGGAAGGAGGAGGAGGAGGAGGAGGAGGAGGCGGAGGGGGGGGGGGGGGGGCCGCGCCCCGCCGCCCCGCCCCGCCCCCCGCCCCGCCCCCCGCCCGGCGAGCCGTCTGCCAGTTCTCCCGCGACTGGTCGCACCGCAGGGCGCTGCCGTCGGGCAGCTTGGCACCCGCCAGCTTCGCGAGCAGGGGGTCGCAGGCCCTGCAGGCAAGGGGGGTGGGAGGGGGGAGTGGCGGGAGGGAGGGGAGCGGCGGGAGGGGAGGGATGGGAGGGGGGGGGGGGGGCGGGGGAGGATGGAGGGAGGAGTGGGGGAGGAGGAGGCGGACGATGAGGAGGGGGGAGGAGAGGAGCTGGAGGAGCAGGAAGGAGGAGGGAGGAGGAGGAGGAGGAGGAGGAGGAGGAAGATTAGGATCAGGAGGAGGAGGAGGATGATGATGAGGAGGAGGAGGAGAAGATGGGGGGGGAGAGCCGCCTGGGGGTGCAAGGGGCGAGGGGAACAGAGCAGGGGGATGTGGGAGGGGGGGGGGGAAGGGGTGGGGTGGGGGGTGGCAAGGGGAAGGACAAGCTAGTTGCGCTCGCGCCATAACTGACATCCGATCCCTCCCACCATTCCCTTCCCATTGCGCTAATTGTTCTGTATCCGCGGACGCGTGCCATAGGGGACCTGGAACTCACCCAAAGACCTCATCGTGTTATGCGCATTCGGAGCAGATGAGCTGCACAGAGGAGGACGGTGAGTAGCAGCACGAGGGGGAGGAGGAGGAGGAGAAGGAGAAAGAGGAGGCGGAGGAGCAGGAGGAGGTGGAGGAGGAGGATGCGTCTCGGATGCGCAGGAGGGGCAGGAGGAGGAGGAGGAGGAGGACCAGTGCAGACGTAAGAGCCATCCACGATGCTGGAATACACCCTCCCTCCAAGCTCCCTCTTCAGTAGGCCCCTGCGACGGTTCATTTCCATTGAGGGAACGGTCTCGTTGGAAGACAACCGTTTGAAGACCCTGGAGCATGCCAACACATTGTTTTCAGGATTCCAGCGCCACGGATCACCCTGACTCTTGCACCTTGACGATCCTGCATCGCGTTAGAACGCCCTTCTTGGAATTCCAACTCCGCGAATCAACGTAACTGTTGACCCACCAGATCCTGAACCTTTCCCAAAGCATCATTTCTGGTACGCTGCACATGGAAATCCATGAAACCCTTGTCATTTGTTTGAACGAATGTGCGCGGCGCTAAGGCGATAATCACATGTTGAAAAAGAACTGCCATCAATCCTTGAACCTCTTGCACTTTGTTCAAACGCATGTGAACGGTGCTGATACGAGAGCCACAATTTGAAAACGGGTTGCCCTCAATCCGTGAAGGTCTTGCAAAGACAGAAAACAATGCGCGCGGCGCTACAGTCGGGGCGTTGACCTAAGGAACCCTAAATAAGGAACGAGGGCCCTTTTTTCCAGAAGTTCAACTTCGATTTCCTATCGAGAACATCGGAAAACCTGAGGCAAGCTGTGAAACACTTTAGGAACGCGGAGCCCCTCCCCAACGAGAAGGGTTCCTTCTTCAGGGCCCCGACTGTAATGCGAGAACCGCATGTTGAAAGCCACCCGTCGTCCATCGGCGAAGCTGTTGCCACTTCGAGAGCTCCAGAGCCTTAAATGGCGAGGAAGTCTCGGGCGAAACACCCAGCCCGCCCTAAGAACTGGCCTCGGGGTGCGACAAGGAGAAAGTGTGTATGAGGAAAGGGAATGGCAAAGGAGGATGCGTCTCGGATGAGCAGGAGGATGAGCGGGAGGAGCAGGAGGAGGAGGAGGAGGAGAAAGGAGGAGAACGAGGACGAACAGCAGCAGCGGGAACTGGAGTGGAAGGAGCGGGAGGAGCAGGAGGACCAGGGGAAGGTGGAGACAACAATGAAGAACGACTCGGATCCAGAATGTGTGGCCCAAGCTGGGACGAGAGCGCCATTCTGAACGACGGGAGCGAGGCGCCGAGCCGCACATGAGGCCAACGCTGCAGCGGCAGCACCATGCTGGGACACCGGAAATGCGCCGACTAAAAAAAAACAAAAGAAACGCGCATGACTGAAACCCGGTCGGAAACCAATACGCGCAGGAGGCGGGCCACTCCCCTGCCATCTTCGGGGGGGGTAAGGTAACAGGATTCTCCTGTGGGTAGTTGTGCAGGCGGAGGCGGGAGGGAGACCACCCGTCGGCCATATCGTTCTTCCAACTCGCTCGGGAGCGCTCGCGGCGGAGGGGGAATATCCTCCACCTTCTTATCCTGCCCATCATCCCCCATCCACCTCCAGCGCTCACCTGACATAGCAGATTCAAAACAAACCATCGAAAGTGACCCAAAGCACCTTTTCAGCTTCACGTTGAAGTCGTAGTCCATGGCGCGCTTCTTCGACTCGTCAACGAGAACCTTCCTGCACGCTGTGTCCATGCCATTGTCGTGCATGTGGTCCAACAAGCAAGTCATCATTCTGCCTGAACCGCTTTCCCCACGGCCCCCCTCTCCGTCGCCCTCCTCCTCCCTCCCTCCATCTCCTCCTCCTCCTCCTCCTCCTCCTTCCCATCCTCCCCCTCCTCCTCCTCCCCCTCCTCCTCCTCCTTCTCCTCCTTCTCCTCCTCCTCCTCCTCCTCCTCCTATTGCTTCGCACCCTCTATCATCTATCATCCCTCCGCGTTCTCCCCCTCCTTCCTCCGTCTATGTCCCCCTCTCCTCCTCCTCCTCCTCCTCCTCCCCTCCTCCTCCTCCTCCTCCTCTCTCCTCTCCTCCTCCTCCTCCTCCTCCTCCTCCTCCTCCCTCCTCCTCCTCCTCCTCCTCCTCCCTCCTCCTCCTCCTCCTCCTCCTCCTCCTCCTCCTACATGGTGGCTGCTGCGACCGCCGCGCGCAGTTTGCCGCCCTCTAGGAAACCGTCTTGTGGGCTGCTAGCCCAGATCGGCCCCCATTTAGGACACTCCGCAACAGTCTGCGAGTTGGGGGCTCCGCAAGCAAAGGGTGTCACCCATTTGCATATCCTTAGTCTTCCTGTTCCACCGAGGAACTGTTAATGGCAGCGCGATCGCAAAGCTGAAAGAAAGATCAGGGGTCAGTGGTCCTCCTCCCCCTCCCTCCCCTCTCCCCCTCCCCCCTCCCTCCTCCTCCCCCTCCTCCTCCTCCTCCTCCTCCTCCTCCTCCTCCTCCTCCTCCTCCTCCTCCTCCTCCTCCTCCTCCTCCTCCTCCTCCTCCTCCTCCTCCTCCTCCTCCTCCCTCCTCCTCCTCCTCCTCCTCCTCCTCCTCCTCCTCCTCCTCCCGCTGGACCTCCTTGTCCCTTCCCGCGTGCTGTCCCCATCCGAGGCAGCCCCAACCAACTCTCCCTTCCCACCTCACTTGGCCGCTCCTCCGGCCGCTCCTCCGCCCAACCCCCAGCTGACCCGCCACTCTGCCTTCTTTGGGCGCCCGAGTTATCCGGGGTAACTCGGGCCCGGGGTAACTCGGGTTTGGATTCCCGAAAAACGAACCCGAGTTAGCCCTGACCCGAATTATCCCTGATGATTTGGGGCTCTGGACGCCCGAGTTATCCGGGATAACTCGGGCCCGGGGCAACTCGGGCTCGGATTCCCGAAAAACGAACCCGAGTTAGCCCTGACCCGAGTTACCCCTGATGATTCGGGGCTCTGGACGCCCGAGTTATCCGGGGTAACTCGGGCCCGGGGCAACTCGGGCTCGGATTCCCGAAAAACGAACCCGAGTTAGCCCTGACCCGAGTTACCCCTTGATGATTCGGGGCTCTGACTTCTCACTCCCCCTCTTCAGGATCCTGGGAATTCTGCGAGGACTGTGGGCTAAGGCTGTGCACAGCATGCCCAACTACCTCGCGGTCCGTATTTCGGCCAGCCCGATTCAAACTTCACGGAAGATCCCTGGCACCCGCAGCGCCGCACCTGTTCAGGCCAGAGCTGGCATGGATGGAACTTTGCCAGGGCTGCGGGCCAAGGCTATGCGCCGCGTGCCCGACTAGGCTGCGGCCCCAAGTGTCGGCCAGATCGACTCAACAGACGTGGCTGGAACTCCAGGATTACAGGCCGCGCGCTGTTAGGCAATATCCCAGGAATTCTGCTCGGACTGTGGGCTAAGGCTACGCAGGGCATGCCCCACTAGCTCGCGGTCGGGTTGTTTGGCCAGCCCGACTCAACATTACGGCAGGATTCTTGGCATCAGCAACGCCGCACCTCTTTAGGCTAGGTCGCTGGGCGCACGCCCACTCCACTCTTCCTGTTCGTGTCCAGGTGAGGACCTCGCCTGGCTCGTCCTCAGTCGAGGCTGCATCTGGGCGCCCGCAGGCGAGGAGGTTCGCGAGCGCGGGCGCCCGCACAGAACGCACACTAGACTAACAATCCCACGAAGTGGGATACCAGTTTCGACAGCATGCAGTACAGTCGGGGCGTTGACCTGAGGAACCCTGAATAAGGAACGAGGCCCCTTTTTTCCGAAGTTGACCTTCGATTTCCGATCGAGAACATGAGGAAAACCTGAGGCAAGCTGTGAAACACTTGAGGAACGCGGAGCCCCTCCCCAACCAAAAAGGTTCCTTCTTCAGGGCCCCGACTGTAGCATCCGTGATAACATGTACACCCTGCGAAATGCTTAAGAAATCATGGGTTAAGAAATTCATAGTCTCAGAACTTGAATAAAAACCCAACATTTCTATTAACAGCTTAAGATTTGCATTGAAACGTTAAGAATAATCGAGACTCTGGCAGAAAACTTAGGTTTTCTTAAGCATCGCCTAAGGTGTAGCCTATTCTTCCCATTTCCCTTGGCCGCCCTCGGGCTCTCGAGGCGGGGCACGAGCTGTCCGCCCTGCTGGGCGGGGCAGCAGCTGCCGGGGGAGCAGAGCAGAGTGCAGTACTGCCATGGGCGTCCCCCTCCACTCAGTACTACCAGGGGAGTAGAGCAGAGTGCAGCAGAGCGCAGTATCACCATGGGAGTAGGGCAGAGTGCAGTATTACTACCATGGGCGTCCTCCTGCCACTTAGCGCGCCGCTTCAGCTCCAGCAGCGAGTTGGAAGCACCCGAGAGCCAGGCCGCCTCCTCTTCCTCCGCTTCGTCCTCCGCCGCACCCCCCCCCCCAGAGGGGACAGGCTGCCCGCGGTCGCGGGAGCGGCCTTCCGCTGAAACCCCACGCTTCGTTTCACGGCGGTTTGGCTTCATTCGCTTCGCCTTGCTCTGCTGTTGGCTCTCTTCGGCAACCTGTGCCGGGGCGTGGCGCAGAACCATCCGAGCCCTCCCCTCCCCTGCCACGCCGACCTCCCCACCATCCCCCAGCCACGTGCCGCCCTCCACCGCGTTCTCCTCAACACGCCTTGCTGCGAGGTGCTGACTGCTCACCTGTGGAGCCCCCCGTGTCAGGGTGGGCTCCCTCGTGCATGGCTGGGATCGGCGAATCTAACGTCCGCCAGTTCTGCCAGTCGCTCCCGCAGATGTGTTGGGGCAGTCCGCGGGAAGGAGGACATACAATCGCGGTCAACTCAGGTCTGCGTCGTATCTCCTGCATTCCGGTGTCTCTCCCCACTTCTTGCACCACTGACCTCGGTCAACGCATCAGGCACAGCACATACTGGGCTAACAGCCCTACTAAGTGGGACAACAACTGCGGCAGCATGCAGTAGCGTCCGTGATGTCTTGCCGCGGTTTTCCCCTTTCACTTTCCCTGTCCGCCTCGTGCTCTCGATTGGGGGGGCAGGCTCTGTCCGCCCTGTCGGGCGACGGAGCAGTAGAAGGGGAGTAAAGCAGAGTGCATTGCGCGCCGTGTGTTTTGGGACAGTACAGAGCGAAGCGGTGTGTTGGTCACACTTTCCGTGACTAGCAAGCTCACGGCCCCAGCCTGTCAATCCTATCTTCTTCCAGCAAGCGCGTGGCATCGCGCTCCTGGGTGTCATTCGGCACGCAGGCGCACTTGCTGCACTCAGCGCTGCCTATGTGCAGAAAGATGTGGGCGCAGCTTGGAGCCTTCTTCGCACGCAGGCGCACTTGCTGCACTTAGTGCTGTCTAAGTGCAGCAAGTTTTTGGGGCATCTTTAGGGCGTATTCAGCACTGTGCGTTGCCTGTTGCTGCGTCGCATCGCATTGCGTAGCCTAGCAGCGCCTCGCGGACACAAAAGCCTTCGGGGCAACTGTCTAGATCTTGGTCGCCTCCTCCTTCCGCCCTCCTCCGCCGACACGTCCACCCCTTGCGCCGAGAGCGTAGGAAGGATGAGAATGGGCTGGCATGCTCCGAAATGGCCGGCAAGTAGGCGGCACTTGCCAAAGGGGCTCGACAGGTAGTATTGCGTTGGGCATGAGGGGTTTCGCTCCCCGTAGACGCGGAGCCGCGTGCGCCATGGCAGGAGCTTTGTCTTTAAGGCATGATCCCATTGTTAGCTGCCAGATGGTGGCTGCTACGACCGCTGCGCGCAGATTGCCGCCCTCTATGAAGCCAGCTTGGGGGCTGCTAGCTCGGGCTGGCCCCCATCTTGCAACCCTCACAACAGGCTGCGAGTTGGAGGCTCCCCAAGCAAAGAGTGTCCTCCATTAGCAATTCCTCTGCTTTTCCTGTTCTACCGAGCAGCGGTTAACGGCAGCCCGCTCGCAGACCTGGAAGCAAGGTCAGTGGTCTTCCACCTCCTCCTCCTCCTCCTCGTCCCTCAAGTGAAGCGCCAACGTTGCTGTACCCCCACCCCCGTCCCAAGTCCCATTCCCACCCCCGTTTTGAAAGGGAACTCCCTTGCATCCCACCAGCTAGTTACAATTCATGCGGAAATGTAGGGTCATACAGATCAAGGATGCGTCCAACGAGAACGCCGTTTTAGACAAGAACCGTCCCCCCCTCCATCCGTGCAGCTAATACGAGAATATGCACGTAGGCTGCTGACTTCGACGTCGTCCAGTGTGAGGGCTCCAAGTGGAAACAGAGCAGCCGCCCTCACTATGTGCACTTGCGAAATATCTTCAACGGGCTGACTGTCAAACGCAAATGTATCTCAAATGTAAGCCACGTGTTGAAAAGGATCAGCCCTGCATGCTCATAGGTGTTGCACATGTGACACGCGAGTGCGCGCGACTTTATACGGCGATCCCGATGCTGAAAAGGAGTCGCCTACAATGCTTGCACAAACTACAAACTTTCAAGACGAATGCGCACGGCCCGATGCATGAACCCCATTCCGAAAGGGAAGCACACTCCATCCGTGAAGCGGTTGGAATTTACTAGTAAATTGCGCGCGGCGCTAAGGCGATAGCCCCAGGTTGGTTAACATCCCCTCTGCTCCTGTAGCTGCTGCAAGCATTTGAAACAACTGCGCGCGGCGAGACGGCGAGAAACCCATAGTAAAAACGGCACCCGTTTCATCACTGTAACAATTTCAAATCGTTTGCGACAACTGCGAGCGGAACTAAAGCGCTAGCCCCTTGTTGAAAACCACTACCCAGTCCATCCGTGTGACCGCTTCAAATGCAAAGCTTCAGGATCTCAAAGCGTGAGGGGCCCTGCAGCGAAAAGCCCCGCCCACCCTACCGACGCGTCTGGGGGTACGGCAGGGGGGAAATGTTGATAAAGGGGTGGGGAAGAATGGCAAGGGGGAAGGAGGGAGGAGGACGGGAGGGACACAGAGGACAAACAGAGGGTGTCTTCGTCGGCCGCTTCCTCCTCCTCGCAAGACCTCCCCCACCTCCTCTCCAAGGGCTCCCCATGGAGGCCATCTAAAATGGGACTCAGCGGCGGATCCAGCCGATGCAGCGAGGGCTTCCCCATAACAGGGTGTAGTACGAGCGTGCCCCCTCTTGCTGCTCCGCCTCCCCCATCGACCCTCTTTCTCCCCCTCATCCCTCCTGCCCCTCCTTCTTCTTCTCCTCCATTCGCCTTGGCCTTCTTCGACAGACTCACAAAATTGTTTCTTGGCGGCCTTGCAGAACCTGTCCACGGGGACGTTGACGCGGGCGTCTGATGACGCCACAACCTGGGGCAACGAAGCATGCCCTCACCCACATCCATGGGATGATGATGATAATGATTAGGATGATGATGATAATGAAGAGGAGGAGGAGGAGGAGGAGGAGGAGGAGGAGGAGGAGGAGGAGGAGGAGGAGGAGGAAGAGGCCTTTTGCGTCAGCATGCCTCAATCGTCGGCACTACGTGCAGGATATTCCGAAGCATCGTAGACGGACAAACAGCCTGGCGATAGGACGCGACTGGCCGAGGAACCGGTGCTGGGGAACACGGAAGAGCCGAAAAAACAGCATCCGAAACGAACACTGGCTTGAAAGCATGGAGGCAGCAGCCTCAGAGTGGGGAGCGTGGACCGCTGAGCAGAATCGCTCGGCCAACACGCATAGCTAGCCGAGGGTGTGACAGGGCGCGGAAGCGAGACCCGCCCCCGAGACCCAAGATGGGGTGGCCTGTCGCCGGCACGCGAGGCCAAGCGGCCGAGCAGCACCTGCACAAGTGCTGAACATGAGAACGTTCGCGGGGCTCGCAACAAGCGAGGACCTTGTTCAAACGCCATCGTTGAACAGACGAGGTCTCGCGCTTGCAGGCGACCAGGAGCCCCCTCCAGACGGGAGCCCCAATTGGACAACGGGCCTCGCAACTCCTGCTGATGAGATGCTGGCCAGCTGGCTGCACTAAATGTCCCTCGTGTTCAAAAGCCTCGAAAGTCTGGAGAGCCGAGCCTGACGTAGGCCACGTCGCTCCAGGAACCTGGCGCCCTGGGGCGGCTGCTCTGTTTGCGCCGCTGTGCCGCGCGGCGCCGCCCGATCTCCAATTTCCCCGCGCAGCAGTTCGCTGAGCAGCTATGGGCCCCGCCGCCGCGGATCGCCCGTCTTTCATCGCAGGCGATGGTCCCGGCGTTGTAACGGATGGCGCTTGACTCGCAATTCGCTGCCCAGCGCCGGGGCCAGCCGTGGCGCCGCGTCGCAGGCGCTGGCTGGCGCTCGGCGTAGGCGGCCCCCGTCCGAGATCCTCGCGGCGGCCGCCTCCTTTCGGCGCGGCCGCGGCGGGGTGGCCGCCGCTTCCAAGGATCGGGGCAGTAGGTCGTGCCTCATCTCGCAGCAATCCACCGCGCAGTGAGGGGACATGTTGCTTGGCTGCTCGTCTCGCCTCGCGGGCGCTGATCTCGGCGGCGTAGCTGGCGACGCTGGCCTCCAGCGCCCTCTCGCAGCAGCTCGCGGAACGGCGCTAGAAGCTGCTGCCGCGGTCCGCTCGTCTCGCCTCGCGGGCGCTCATCCCGCAACGTAGCCGGTGGCGCTGGTCTCCAGCATCCTCGCGTAGCGGCTCGCTGAGCAGCGCCGGAGCCTGCTGCCGCGGCGCCCGCATCTTGCGCCGCAGGAGCTGATCTCCGCGTTGCAGCTGACGACGCCATGCTCCAGTCTCTTCTCGCAGCAGCTCGCCGCGCAGCGCGTGGGCCTGCGGCCGCGGCTCGCCTGCCTCGCATCGCGGGCGCTGGTTCCAGCGGCGCAGCCGATGGCGTTGGTCTCCAGCCCCATCTCGCAGCGGCCTGCTGGGCAGCGTTGGAGCCGGCTGCTGCTGCCTCAGCTCGCTGGGCAGCTCGGCGAGCACCTCCTTCGAGGTGGCATGGCGCGTGTTGGCGCACCCGCCGCCGTCCGAGATCACCATGGCGGCGCCCTGCGCGTTCTCTCGGTCGCCCGCGAACACGACGTCGGCCGCCTGGAGGGCCTGCGGCACGTTGGCAACAACGCGGTGCACCCCGTTGTCCGGCGATCGCAGGCCTGCGGCGCGTGATCGGGGCCACCTCCAGTGCCGCCGCGACGGCGCCGCCGTCGCAGTACTAGCCATTCCCGAACAGCACCACCTGGATGCGCGCGCCCTTCATGCCGTGAGACTTGCTCTGGCACTCGCCGGCAAGGCGCAGGGTGAACTCCCGGGCGATGACGAAGCCCTCCTGCTTCAGAGAGCTGGTGCCGTCGAGGGCTGGCTGTGCAGATCCTATCGTCGATGCAACCCTGGGGGTCGCTCTCCTGCGTCTGGACATGGGCGGGGTGCCCTGGCCTGGGGAACTTGCCGCTCGCGCGGCCAGCGAAGCCCACCTTCCGCGCGCGCTCCTGGGGGCGGCCGGCGCAGGCCATCGAGCGCGGCGCCCGCGCCGTCAACAGCGTTGGCGCGCAGTCGCGGTCGAGCGGACCGGCGCTGCGCGGCCGCTCCTGGGAGCGCGGCGGCGCACTCCATCCCGTGCTCTTGGGCCTCCCGAAGATCGACCGGGCCTTCCCCCGGGCGCCGCCCCCGCGCTCCTCGGGGCGCGCGGGCTGGCCGGGCCGCCCGGGCATGGTGCGGTGGACGGGCAACAGGGCTGGCTGCGCTTCACGCGCGCGGCCCGCGGCCCCGTTCGTGCTCGCGGGCCAGCGGCGGGCGGGCCACGCCGAGGGACTGGGGAGAAGCTTCGCGCCACCGCGCGCATCGACGCCGACGTTCCCGACATCGGCGGAACAACTGTCGTCGCCGTTTAAGACCTGCCCCTCGCGTCGATGGCGAAATGGCCCGTGGGCCAGTCCAGCGCGTCGAGGTCCTCGACCGATTGCGCGGGCGAGACCGCGCCGCGCCGCATCGGCGCCTTGCGACCTGTCCAAAAACCGCCGACGCTCGCGTCGAGGACCCCGATCACGCGCATGTTGTCACGCGCCACCCTGACCTCGAGCGCGCGCTCGACGTCGCGGCGGGTGCTGCTGTCTCTCGCGCACCACCGCCGCTAACGCATTGACCTCGGAGGTGGGTTGCCCAGCGATTCCGCGAAATTCATCTCGTTCAACCCGGTCGTTCAACCAAGAACATGAGCGACCATATTGAACATGGTCGCTCATGTTCTTGCGCTCGTTCGGCGGCGCCCCGCGGGCACGGCCGCGCCGCCGCTGCCGCCCGGCGATCGCCGCGCCGACGGGCCCCAGGTTGCTCGTGACCGGGGTCGCCGCCAGCGCCGCCGCGGCAGTGCCGTCGTCGAGGTGCTCGACGATCCCGAACGGCAATCCCGATGCGCATGCCCTGCACGCCGCAGTACGTTCCCCAGCACTTGCCCTTAAAAGCCACGTCAAACCTCCGGGCGATGCCGAAGCCCCCCTGCTCCGCGGGGCCGCTGCCGTGGAGTGCGACGACGCGGCCCTGCCTGGCGCAACCCAGGGCGATGCGCTCCTGCATCTGAAAACTAAAGGCTCTCTGTGCCCCCTGGCGCCTGTCGTTCGCGCGGACAGGGGCGCCCCCCATCCCCGCGCACTTCTGGGCGCCGCCGCCGCGGGCTATCGAGCAAGGCCCCCGCGAGAGTGAGTCGCGGCCGCGCGAACCGGCGTCGCATGGCTGCTCCTCAAGCTCGATATGTGGAACACTGCCCCCCCGTCCCTGGGCTTCGGCAGAACTCGCACATCGGGGTCGAATTGAGCTGTTCTCCCCTTCCGCGATACTCAACGGTGCGCCGTTGGCGCTCGTCGTGGTAGCCCGCGACATGGTACTCGGAAAGGTATTCGCGCCGCTCGTGGACGTCAGGGTCGAACTGGTGATTTCCAGCGAAGTCGAGCTGCTGCTCTCTTGCGCGCTGTTCGACGTCGCCGTGCAAGTGCCCGTCGCGGTGGTCAACCGCGCGGTACCAAGGACAGCGCGGCACCCTCGTGGACGTCAGGGTCGAGGCACTGCTCTCCGACGGGCAGCTCAACGGTGAGCCGCTAGTACCCGTCGTAGTGGTCAGCGGCATGAATCTCGAGACGGTGCTCGCCCCACGCATCGACGTCAGGGTCGAGCTAGTGTTTGCAGACGTGCTGCTCAGCGTTGAAATTCTGATACCCGTCGTGCTACTGATGTGCGCTGTGGTGGCCAACGACGGGGCACTCGAGGCGGCACCCGTCCCCCTGGCCCCTCGTGATAGTCAGGGCGAAGCTGCTGCTCCCCGACGCGCCGCTGCACGTCGAGATGTTGGTGCCAGCCGTGCTGCTTAAGCGACGTGGCGCCCGAGCCTGTGCTCGCCCAACTCGGGGACGTCGGGGCCGGGCTGCGGCTCTCCTTGGCGTGCTCGTCGACGAGGCGCTGCTATATGACGGTCGTGGTGCTCCGCGATGGGCGGTTGCTCTCCGACGTGCTGGTGAGCATCGAGAAGCTTATGCCCGTCGTGCTGTTCGGCGACGTGGCATGCGAGGCAATACTTTGTTCGACTCGTGGACGCCGCGGCCGGGCAGCTACCCTCGGGATTTCTGCTCCTCGTCGAGGTGCAAATGCGCATCGTGGCTGTCGAGGCTGGTCTCCGGCTTTTCTCGCCACCGCTCGCCGAGCAGCGCCAAAGCCCACCGCCGCGGCTCGGCCGTCTCGCGACGCAGACGCTGATCCCAGCTTTGCAACCGAAGACGTTGGCTCCCAGCTCCCTCTTGGCGCAGCTCGCTGGGCAGTGATGTAGCTCGTTGCGACGGCTCACCCCTCTCGCACCGCAGGCGCTGACCCCGGCGTTGTAGCTGCTGACGCTGGTCTCCAGCTTCTTCTCGCCATAGCTCGCGGCGGCACCGCCAAAGCCTGCTGCCGCGGCTCGGCCGTCTCGCGGCGCAGGCGCTGACCCTTTTGCCGTAGTCGATGACTCTAGCTTCCAGCTTCCTCTCACACTGGCTCTCGGAGCAGCGAGGGCCCCCCCGCTGGACGCCGCGAGCGTCAGAGGTCCATCCCCCTTCCGCCCGTACCGCGCCGCACACGTGAAAGAGAACAGCGCGGGCGCGGTCTCGATGCCCTGCCCATCCCCCCGAGGGCCCACCGCTATCGGGGCCCCTTTTCCCAGCCATGGACTTCCGCCCCAGCTCGCGGCGGAAGGAGGGGGGCCCGCGGGCAGGCATGGGGGTTCCCGCTGCTGCGGCACCTACCAAGAGAGGGTGGGGGCTGAAGACCATCCCGCACGCGCGCCATATGATTCCGCGGTCGGGCCCCCGTCCCGAACGGTCCTGTGGGACCCCACCGCTGCTCGCCGCGACGGCATGGTGGGACCCCGACGGCATGCTGCCAGGTGCGCTGCGGCTGGCCCCCACGCAGAAGGGTCGCGTGGGCTCTCGCCGCTGCCTGGGTCTGCACCTGCCCCAGCCACCGTTCGCACCCCGGGGCGGGTGCAGGGTGCCGAGGAGGAGGAGGAGGAGGAGGAGGAGGAGGAGGAGGAGGAGGAGGAGGAGGATGAGGAGGAGCTTCGCATCTTGGCCCGCCGCCGCGCGGCGGGCCGGGGGCGCATGGACCACTGGCCGGCACCTGCGCCCAGCCGTGTGTCCGCATCGGCCCGAGCGCAGGAGCCCGAAGGGGCACGGGCGTCGGGCAGCGAACGAGGCTACGCTTTTTCGTGCTGGCGCGCGGGGGCTTGCACGGATGGCGGCGCGGTGGCCTTCATGCAAGGAGCCCTCGCCGCAGCGCTGTGCACGCTCATTCGAAAATGCTGCGATGTTTCAAGCTGAGGTCATCCCTCAGGCGACGCACACAGTCGTCTCTGGAACACATGCAGCACCTTCAAAGATCGAGGATGAATCCTTTTTCAAAGTGGGGCTCTCCTTTGAGATTTCAATGGGTACCTATTGGCGGCGTAAGGGTTGACCATATCTAGCAGCTACGCCGATGGGAAGCGGCGTCGTTCAATGTGGGGCTCTCGCTTGAGACCTCCTTGAAAAGAATGGCCAACCATGCAATGTTGAGCAACCAGTGTACGGATGGAGCGGACATTTTCCAAAACAAAAAAATATCGCTGGATAGCTGATTGGGCACAATGATCATACATGGTCGCCCTCCTCAGTGCTCGCTCAAAGTGTCATGAAACTTCGATTTCAAAACGGGGCTTCCACCTCAACAACAAGCCCATCGGGTGCCAATGTTTTAGGGGGAAGGGCTCCTTGCGGTGAGAACGAAGGGACCCATCAAGAGGAAGGGGAGTGGTGTGTCGGGGGCAGGTTCCTCCTGGGAGGGGGGAGGTAAAGGTCAGGGCATCGAGGGTTCCTTCCCCGCCCATGGGAAGGATGCGAAGAAGGCGGTACAGAAATACGGGTGTGTTCTTGTTCCGTCCCCCGCCCCCTCCCAGCCATGTAGGTCTTCTGGACGTCCTGGCACATAGCGGTCAGGTCCTTGAAGTTATTGGCCAAGCAAGCGTGCACCTTGCCTCCGTCTCCCCCTCTCGACTCTTCACTGCAGTATTGACCTATGTCGAACTCGCACATATTCTGCCTCACGGGATCAAGCTTGACACTCTTCAGCCTCTCCGAAGCCTTTCTCCGAATGTCGCCGCGGCAATCCGAGCTCTTCACCTCTGTAGGGAGAATGCATCGAATAGCCAACACATGGGGATTTCACGACTTTGCTGACATGTAAGGTCCACGGTTAAAAGTGATATATGAGAAAACCAAAACAAGTCTAGACCACCACCTCCACTGATTCTACTCGGCCCCCTCGAGCTGTTGGTGTTAGCATTTCTTCACTCGAGGGACCTGGTCAAGTTGACGGATTAAACAAGTGGTGACATCACCGAGGCTCGAGAAGTCTTTGTACTCTGCAACAGTGAAGTAATCGTTGCAGATGCGCTGCGCGTCCGCCTTGCAGTGTTTGGACATGGCAGGGTCGAGGAAGAACTCGGAGTGCTGAAGAGCGAGGATTTTCTGAACCGCGACACTGCAATCCCTGGGCATGCCGGTATCTGACGTGTGCCTCGCGAGGCACTGCCACATCTGGCTTTCACCTGCCGTCAGGTCTGAGCAGAACGTGGTCATCGCCGTCTTGCAAGCGCGAGCTGCCATTTCATCAGCCCTAATGTTGCCTGTTCGGATCGCTTGTGTCTTGAACTCCTCTTTCGCACAAGCGCTCGAAAGAACGGCCTTGTGCTTGAGAAGACAATCGTGCACACGGCCACGGCCAGGCTCAATATCCTCACAGAGCGCCTCGACGTCACTGACGCAAGCATGGTACGTGTTGGGCGCCATCCTGATGTCGTTCACCCCCTGCGAGACAAAACGAAGAATCTCTGCGTTGCAAGCGTCGGCCTTAATCTTTTTGTCGATGTAAGCCTGCTTCAAGCATCCGAGAACCTTACCAGCCCCCTCATCACGAGCGACGAACATACCCATGCGTATGCCCTCGCGATCCGGGTGCCGAGGCGGATCGCGTGGATACACGATCCAATGGATACGTTGCGCGTGGTGAATCCGTGCGAAGACGCCCTGTATCCGTTGGGTCGCGGCCGAGAAAATCAGACCGCGAGGCCGTGGAAATGGATATGATCCTCGCCCGGCACCTCTTCCAGGTCGTCGCCGCAGTGATCGCTGGCGTCCCTTTCGCACGTGTGCGAGATCCCATACTTCAGGCGCCAGTCTTTGCTGCTTGCCTGCATGTCGACTATTACCTCTTTCTTGCAGTTGGAAGGGAAGCCCGGGTCGTCCACGAAGTCCTGCAAACATCGGATGACCCGGGCACTGCCCGGGGGCACTTCGCTGCAGTACCGGGAGATCGCGACCTCGATGGCGGCTGGCGATGGGGGAACCAACATTGAGCGGCTGGCCATCTGAGAAGGCACGGGCTCATCAGAACAGAGCGGCCTTTCTAGAGCAACTTTTGGCGGCGCGCACCAGAAGCCTTCCCCCCTCCCGCCACACCCCTCTGCGCGTGACTGATCCTTTCTGCTGCCCGCACCCGGTGAAAGGGGGAAAACTGAGGCCGCGGTTGACCCCGGACCCTTAGGCGGCACGTCCTGGGACAACTTCCCTGAAGGCGGTGGACACGAGTGGGGATCGGCGGTGAGCGAGGGGGGCAAGTGAAAAGGAGAAGGCCTTCTCAGCAGACGGCGGGGCTTCTTAGAAGCCCTTGCGCCCTCTGAACGCCTTTCTGCGTCTTCGAGAAAAGGCGGCCACTTATCAGAAGGCTGGGGGACTTCCGAGGCTTCCGAAGAAGGCCCAACCCTTCACATGTCCCCCCCAGGCTCGCCGCCGAGAGGATAATGAGCCCGCTTGGGGAAGCACTCGGCTAGATCAGGCCAGACTAAACCAGATTTGGCAAAATTCTGCCAAATTGGCACCAGGGCCGATGAGTCACCCAGACTCCTACAATATTCCTACAAGTTGAAGCCTGGCGTAAAGGGGACCCTTGTCTTGCCGGCCGCCTGGCAGGCGCTCTCCATCGCGGGCTTCATGTACACATCGCCCGCCTCCAGCTGACCCTGGAGAACCTCGGCGCTCCGGCATTCACTGCTCAGCTTGTCCATGTTCGTCCGGAGGCATTTGTGCGCATCCTCTGGACGGGAACTGTCGCAGTACTGGTCGATGTCGGCCTGGCAAACACGCGAGAGGACCGCGTCTGCGTTCGCGTCCAAGGCCTGGGTGCGGACTACTTGCACGATCCCTGCCTTGCAGGACGCCGATGTGATGTTGGCGAAATGTGTCTTCAGGCAGCGGAGCACCTGGCCCGACTTTGCAGAATTGTCCTTCGGGCGGATGGTAATGGGGGGTGACGTAAATGGGGGGCGAAGAAAAGGGCCCTGGAGAGGTCCTGTAGGGCCCTTCTCTTCACCACCCATTTTGGGCCACCCCCCAGTACCACCCGCCCGGTCCTTCCGCTTCGTCCCGAAGAGCTCTTGCAGGCTCATCTTGTCGGCGGCTTCTTTTTCGGAGCTGCACATCTCGTCCACTTCTTTGGCGCAGCTGTCCCGGATCTTGAAGTTCAGGCGGTAGTCTTGATTGGCCCGCACCGTCAGCTTCTTGACTACCGATGTGCACTTCGAGCTGAACCTTCGGTGGAGACTCATGGGAGCCTCCCATACCATCTTGTCGGCTCTTGCGGATCGATGCTAATCGACTCAAAATCGACGCTGATCGACGCTACATGGACGCTAATCGACGCTAGCCGACGCTAAATCGGCGCTACCTCGCCGACTCCCAGACGCTAATCGACGCTAAAGGTGGAATTGAGGGGGTATACCAGACTCCCATGATTTGCTACCGAACTGAACCTGGCCACCGAGTGCTTCGCGGGCGTCGAGAGGCTCTCCCACAAGCAGTTTAGCATCGTGCCATCGCCGAACGCCTTGTTGCCGCAGACCGACTCGATCTCATCCTCGCACATGTCCATGGCTTTCTTGTTCAGCCGGAGGTCCTGTGCTGACTCTACCTCTAGAGGATCAAGCTGCAAAAATAACCTGTCGGAGATCTACGCGGAACTCTTGGGTCGGCGCTGGACCTCCAACCTCTGGCGCGCGCAGCACGCTACGGTCGGCGCCAGAGGCGCCGTCAGGAAGTCCTGCGCCGACCCAAGAAACTCACGCCGTCCTCCACACAGTCTGATTAACCGACCAAATAGGAGCCCTAACCTTTCGGGAGGGGGAGGGCTTAAACAAGGGCTCCCAACTTCGCGCTTCGCGCTGCGCGAAGCGCGAAGTGCGAATAACTCCGCGCTCTCGCGCCGCCTCCCAAGGGAGAAGAGGAGGATGAGGAGGAATCGGAGCCGAACCGCGAAGCGCGAAGCGCGAATAACTTCGCGCCCTCGAGGGCGCCCTTGTCAAACAATCAGTGATAGGGGCTCTGTTCTGTAGATGCGTCGAGCCAAAACGCCCGCAGGGAGGCCACGTCTTCGCTGTGCCATGAGGTTCGAGGTTCTTTTATTCTCGGGCAATCCTCCTCCTCCTCCTCCTCCTCCTCCTCCTCCTCCTCCTCCCCCTCCTCCTCCTCCTCCTCCTCCTCCTCCTCCTCCTCCTCGCTTCGCGCTCCGCGAAGCGCGAAGCGCGAATAACTTCGCGCTCTCGCGCCGCCCCCCCAAAGGGAGAAAAGGAGGACGAGGAGGAGGGGGAGAAGGAACGAGGACCGCGAAGCGCGAACCGCGAATAACTTCGCGCCCTCGTGGGAGCCCTTGCTTTTATTCTCGGGCAAATTTTGGATTGAGCCGATCTGTTCTTCTTCGAACCTCCCAGCCGAACAACTTGCCGCGGCACGGCTCACTGAGGTTGAACCGGTGTTCCTTGAGGCAGTGGATGGGTACCCCAGAAGACTGGCGCAACTTGCAGCTTGGGATTTTCTCCATGTCCGTCTTGCAAGCGTCGAACAACCCCTTCTCCATGGATGCGTCCCTGGAGAGCATCTCCTGCATTGAAAATACCTTTGCGTCGCAGGCGGGGGACAGCTTGCCAGTCGTGCTCCGCTTCTTCCTGAGGCAGTCGCTCAGGACGGGCCCGAGCATCGTGGGGCACTCCCTGGCGGCGTCCTCCCTGCAGGCTTCGCGAATGCCCGTCACGGGCTCCGCGGACCAAAGGTTCGCTGGGTCGAGGGGGTTGGCACGAAGAGCCGCCATCTTGAACTCGCGAAAATCATCGATGCACGGGTCGAGCTCTTCTGGGTAACCTTTCTTGCTCCATACCTTCGCCTTTCTCAGGCTCATCGCGACGCAGGCCACTACCTTGCCCTGCCCGCGCTGTACCTGAATTGAGCAGGGACCGACCGTCACCGTCCCGGCATTGCTATAGGCATACCACGAAATCTTCGTCGACCACCAAAATGTTCCAAGAACAAAAACAATGTACTTAGAGCACAAGCCTGGTGTGTTTAAAAAAGGCGTCTGAGCCAGAAATGTTCGAAGAACATCGAGTGCAGACCAGAAAGCATTCTTAAAACATTCCTCGACGGGCTTATAGGCAAGCCAGGACTCTTCGCCACTGATCGGTTAAAAGGATCCAGGGAATGCGCATGAACTTTGGGAGATCCGCGCGGATTTCGCGTGTCGGCGCAAGGGCACCCTCCCCCAGCGCGCGAAGCGCGCCAGGGCCGCCTCCAGGGCCGACTCATCGGCGGTGGACAAACCTCCCTCTAGTAAACCTCCCCTTCGTGAAAACGGTCTGGGGCCGAAGCCGACGGACCTGGACCCGCAAAAATGACGGCCGCGACGCCCTCTCGCAGACCGACAACGGCCAATTCCTGAATCGACGTGTCAGGGTAGGAGGTCTACCCACCTCCGAACTCAAGACGTTCGCGCGGACCTCCGGACGGACCCGTCGGTCGGAAGAAGTGGGTAGAAACATGCAGTAGGAAGGCGTTGAAAGTACACCCTGCGAAATGCTTAAGAAATCATGGGTTAAGAAATTCACAGTCTCAGAACTTGAACAAAAATCCAACATGTCTATTAAAATCTTAGGAATTGCATTGAAGCATTGAGAATAATCGAGACTCTGGCCGAAAATTTAAGTTTTCTTAAGCATCGCCTAAGGTGTAGATTGGGCTTCCGCCCGAGTAGATTGGGACGTAGCATCCAAAAAAAGCTAGTTCCAACGGCCGGCGGGCATCTGTGTGTGCCTTCTGTTCTCCGAGCGCCTCCGGGCAGTTCTTCGCCACGACGTCCTTCGAGGGCGGCGCAAACTGCAGCATCCGTGGCGCCGCGGTCTGGACACCCGAGCGGGATCCCATGGACTGGCGACCGACCCCACGGATACGGCAGGTTCGCGTCGTGTCGACCCCGGCGTTGGTTTCTGACACCGCGGGGATCGTTCAACCTTGAACGATCGGCCGTTCCCGCAACGTCCAATCGTTCAACATCGACCGATTCTGGGTCGCCGAGTGCTCGTCGCCCGCAGCCTGCCTATCCCGGCGGCGCCCCCAGAAACGAAGGCAGAGGGGTGGGGAGGAGGGATGGGAGAATATGATGGAGGAGGAGGAGGAGGAGGAGGAGGAGGAGGAGGAGGAGGAGGAGGAGGAGGAGGAGGGGGAGGAGGAGGAGGAGGAGAGGGAGGAGAGGGAGGAGAGGGAGGAGGACGCCGCGGGCGGGGGTCGCCGCGGGTCGACACGGCGCGAACCTACCGTGCACACGGCGCGCGGCTTCCGCGCGGGGCCGCCCTGCCCCTGCGGGGATCCACAAGGGCTCCCAGCTTCGCGCTTCGCGCTGCGCGAAGCGCGAAGCGCGAATAACTTCGCGCTCTCGCGCCGCCCTCCCAAAGGGAGAATAGGAGGACGAGGAGGAGGAGGAGAAGGAACGAGGACCGCGAAGCGCGAAGCGCGAATAACTTCGCGCCCTCGAGGGAGCCCTTGAATCCAGGTGTGCGCCGTGCGCGCGGGCAGGCGCTCCCGACGCCGGCGCGGCTCGGGGGGGCGCGAGGGCGGGGAGCACGAAGGACTGGTGATGGGCGTGTTTTCCACCACCACCATCATAAGTTGGAGGGGGTGGGGTCCTCCTCCTCCTCTTCCTCCTCTTCCTTCCCCCCTCCAACTTATGGTGGTGGTGGTGGAAAACAGGCTCATCAACTGGGGCGGCGATCCAGGGCACCAGGCAGGGCCGGAATCTGCGCGATCCCTCACGACGCCGACCGCCGCACCCCCAACGTGGTGGAAAAGAAGCGGCAGAAGCTTCCGCCAGCGCCCATGATCATGCCCCTCGGTTCGCGAGGTCCTTGCACCCCCCGTGAGGGTCGATGTCGCTTTCGGCCGTGATCGGGTTGAGCGGCGTTCTCGGCGCCGCGGCGGTCGGTGGGGCCGAGGAAGCCGCCTGGTGAGGGGCGAATTGGCAGTCGCACCCTGCACGCAACAGACGCACGACGTCTGTCTGCGAACGAAACGTCAACTGCTCGGTCTGGGGACCGCCCTGGAGCCACTCGCTCCACTCGTGTGTCTAGGCTGCGTCGAACGTCCGTCGATTCGAATCGATCTTGAGTCGAACTTGAGTCGAACCTGAGTCGAATTTGAATCGATCTTGAGGCGAACTGGGGTCGAAATTGAGTCGGACAGATCTGTTAGGTGGGCCCCAGGACGGTCCCCAAAACCAGCATCTATGAGACAAGCTCAACGGCCGCTGCCTCCCCGTATTTTGGACGCCGTGGCAGAATCAGGGTGAGGGTGCTCAGCGTCCGCGGGCCGCTTCTCGGCCCCGTGCCATCAGAAACGACCCAATCGGGGATCTTCTGACCCAGCTCAACCCTTGTTGATGCCATGACAATGGGCGCTCTAACCGCTCTATCTTTGAATCCACATGTTCTCTAGATGTGTTCTACATGTTTAGAACATGTTTGATACATGTGGTGGTACTGTTTTAGGCATCTGGGAATTATTCGGTAACATGCCTCCTCTCCATTGATCGCCTTCCACAAATCAATCCAGACCCGGGTCAGTCAGGCCTTGCAGACTCCTGCAAGATCCTACATGATCCTGCACCCAAGCCCGGGTCAATGCGAAGGATCTTGCAAGATCATGCAGGACCCTGCGCCCAAACCGGGGTCAATGCGACCCTGGCCCTGCAGGTTCCCGCAAGACCGGGCGCTCTGGCTGACCCCCGTTTGCATTGGCCCCAGTCTCTTGAGCCCCGACACAGGAGAAAACCCCGGTCCCTGGGGAGGGGCCGAAAGGTCTGGGGGGCCCGTGTGGGAAAATACTCGACGCGGATATCCCCGCATGCGCACCCCGAGTTCCTGGCACGTCTCCCTGAAGGGTTCTGTCTGCGATCATGCGAGCGCGGCAACGAGCCCGAGCAGCCGACGAGCGCGGCAACACCAGCGACGAAACGACGACTTCAGTGACGCCCCCCTCTTTCTCTGGACGTCGCGCGGGAGAGAACAGGGGCAGCCCGAGCGGGAGAGCGCGAGGGGACTCCTCTCGCCGTCTTCGCTGCGGCCACTCAGGCAAAAGCGTGGCTCAAGTCTGCATCAGCAAGTTCGCTTGGGGCCGAAACCCCGCCGACGCCGGGCAGTTCTGCCCATCCTCAAACTTTCATGGTGCCCCAGCCTGCGGCTGATGGCGCCCGTTCGTACAAACCATGGGTCCGCGTCTCCGATTCTCCCGATGCTGAAGCGGGATGGCAGCAAGTGGAAGGTCATACTCGTGCTGGCCATGGTCGCCGCCGGAAGCAGCGCCCTTGGAGCTGGTGTGCAGCGTGTTCGGGATGGACGGGGGACCACATCTTGCGCAAGACACCAGAGTGCATGCATTGCAATGCGGCACTTGCTCCAGGGGCACGGTTCGGAGGAGCTGAGGATGTGGAGCCCGGAGCCATCGTTGTGCGCTCCAAGACTCCTAACCCTCTACCGCCTGAGGCTATGGCCAAGATGCGGGAAGTGGCTGCCATGCTGCCTGAGCCCCAGGCAAAGGCCCTCCTTCCCCAGTGCGAGCCGCCCGTCGTCAAGCCGGACGTGCCCCCGCCTCTGCCCGAGGCCGAGTACCAGGCTGCGGAGGTGGCTAAGCGCCAGGCCAGCCGGGCTCTCCAGGCTGCGCAGGACGCTCGGCTCCGAGTGGAGAAGCAAGTGGAAGCTGCTGATCGCCGTGTTGAGGAGTGCCTCCTGGCTGAGCAACAGGCGGAGGCCAAGGTGGCAGAGGCAGCCAAGCGGGTTGTGGAAAGGGTGCTGCCACCCACCAAACAGGAGAGCGTCATTCACCTGGACAAGCTGCTGTCTGAGGATGGCGAGGAGCAAAGGTTCAAGATTGAGCTCGGCGAGATTCTCGATCTCGACGGGCCCGAGTTTTCAGATGCAGATCGCACCAGCTTCCAAGCCTTTGAGAAGGAGCAGGTGGAAAAGGTCAAGGAGTACCTCAAAACGGCGTTCACAGACGTCGCTGCCAAGGCCAAGCAGCATCGCGAGACCTATGCGGAGCGGGTCAAAGAGCTTCGTAAGAAGAAGCGCAGGATTGGCCCAGAGGCTGAGGGAGAGCCGGCAGCGAATGGGGGAGCACAAGCATCCGGCGCGGCGGCTCCGAGGGGCACCAGCGCGGGTGAGGCGCAACCGGAGCGCCCGCCTGGCCTGGCGCCATCGGCCGACGAGGCTGCCAAGGAGCGCTTCCGTGAGCGAGCCCTCCGGGCCCTCCGGCAGCGGCCGCAGCCGTAGCCCGGACGAGCTGCCCACAGTGTCGAGTGCGGATCGCCGCCTGTCGTGCGCTGCTGGACTGTGTGATCCTCCTCCTCCTCCTTCTCCTCCTCCTCCTCCTCCTCCTCCTCCTCCTCCTCCTCCTCCTCCTTCCCCTTCTTTTTCGCCTGCTCCGCCTGTCAGTTTTACTTCCGATGCTCCCGCAGTTTTGCCGTATCCACGTGTGGTTGTGTCAAACATTTCAAAATGGGGCCAACAGGCCGCCAGATGGTTTCTCGAGACCTCTGCGGATGCAGTCCTTTTGGCTGAGCATCGCATGAGGGGTGCGAGCTTTCAGTCCATTCTCAAGGAGTTGCATTTTGCGGGGTGGACGATAGTAGCTCATGAAGGTCACATTACTCAGGCAGGGGACACCTCTTCCAGAGTGATGGTCGTTGCTCGATCCCACCTCCTCCTCTCTGACCTCGTCCACCTTTCCTCCACCTGGAAACTTCCCAAACCCATGAGTCGTTGGCTTCTCTGCACGCTCCGTTTGCGAGAAGTCAATATCACTTTAGTTCCAGTCTCCCTGCGCAAGTCTGTTGGTCGCAGGGGCCCCAACCTGAGGCTTTTGAGTGAGCTCGGTTCGGTGCTCTCTGTAGGGGGTCCAAGTATAGTTAGCGGGGACTGGAACATGCAATTTGAAGCTCTCGACTCGGTAGGTTTTCCTGGTCGTCTCAAGCTAGGGCCGGTAGACATGCCTGGCGTTTCATATACTTGTGAGGTTGCTGACCGGACTAGCCTCATTGATTTTATGTTGGTGAGTGGTCATTTCACGCCAGCAGATTTTTCCAGGGGCTGGATGGTTCGGTCCCCTGGGGCACCCATGTCGGCCTCGCCTCTCGAGTTTGTGCTGCCCCAAGAGCCCTTTCAGTTCTTCGTTTAAAAGCACCTGCCGCTCTCGATCATCCCAAGGTCCAAGGCCCTGTCCTGCCGTGGCTACACTTCCAGGCTCAGGCCCGTTTCCGGAAGCATTCCAAGCCGCAGCGTTTCCAGGGTAATCTCAGTGTGTCTACCCTTGGGCACGATAATCTTCCCACGGCGCAGGCGCTGCATGATAGTTTTAGTGATTGGATCCTGGCGGTTGAGCTCGAAGCCTGCCACAGGCAGGGGATTGAGGCCGGCACGATTTGGTAGCATGTAGGTAGAGGCCAGCATTTGCATGTTAAGAAGTGCCCGATTGTCCCCAAGCAGGGCGAAGTACCTAGTGTAGTGAATCACCTGGCTAGGTTCTGGCAGAGCCTTGCGGTCCAGTTGTCTCCTTGTTTGAAGCTTTGCGATTTGTGTGGGGGCGCAGCCAGCTTTCCTACGCCTCGGCCCTGTTCGGTTCGGCATTTCCAGGGACTGGTGCGAAAGATAGCTGCGCTGCGTATTCCCCCGCCCCTTAACGAAGAAGACCAAGATGAGTGCGATGAGCTTGGCTTGAGGCCAGCCCGTCTTGCTAGGCTGCCTGATTTTCCTTTGCACAGCTGGCAAGAAATGATCGAGCTAGCTGATAATCTCGGCGCCAGGTTTGAAAGTCGAGCAGCAGCCGCGTGCAAGGCTTATTGGAAGAAGTGGCTAAATGACGGCCTGGCGGGCGCTGCGCGTGCTGCTCACAAATCTCTCAAGCCAGATTCTTGTTTCACACTCAAAGATTATGTTTTTGAAGCGGAGCTTGCGGAAGTGTTTCTGAGCGTCTGGATTTTCAGGCGTCGGTGTGGTCTGGCCCTGGCTATTGGCAGCAGCATTCCCCTGAGTCAGCTAGGCAGTGCTTGTCGCAGTTGAGGTCTGAGGCTATGAACAGCCCTCCCCTGCCGCCTTTAACCCTTTCGCAGCTGTGTCGGGTTCTGTCGAAGATGCCGGACGGACGGGGTAGAGGCCCCGACATGATCCCTCCTCGTCTCATCAAAGATGCCAGCATGGAGGCTAAGGAAGCCTTCTTGAAGCTTCTCGCAGCAATTGAATATTCGGTCACCCTGCCGTTTGCCCAAGCCTAGTGTCTTATAGCTCTGCTTGACAAGCCGGACGGCGGCCTCCGCCCCATAGCATAAATGGGCTTCGCGTATGTCGTCTTGTTGCGTTTAAGGCACCCCGGAGTGGCGGCCTGGGACAAGGCCACCGCGGGAGTTTGTGATAAGACTGTGGGTGGGGTGGCTGACGAGGCTGGGTGGGAGGATGAACTCAATACTGAAGTTGCTATGTTGAAAGGCTTCATGGTCGGTGATGGTCTGGTTGACCTCACCAAGCTTTATGACCAAGTTGGCATGCCAGAGCTGGTGTCCCAGGCGAAAAGCCTCAACTACCCTCTTCGCCTTCTTGCGCTTGCCGTGGAAGCTTATCTCGGCCCCCGTCTTCTAACCCTCGACCAGGCTGTGCACCCTGGAATCATCCCGTCAGGAGGGGTGTTACCAGGATGGTGTCAGGCTGTCTCTCTTTCGCGCGCGTAGTTGTACGCCCCCGTGGCTGCCACGCACGCTGTGCACATAACGGCGCACACCAGGCAGTAGATTGATGACATAGCTTTCCGCATTTTCGGCACAGAGGCTCTTATTCGTGAAGTGTTTCCCCAGGTGATCCGCACCCTGGTGAGGGGCCTTTTGGGAGTTGAAAACCAGCTCTCGGTTCCGAAGTGCGTTTTCATGGCCTCTCATCCCCAGCTGCGAGAGCTCTTGAGAGTGCCAAACCTGTGGCTGCTGCAAGGGACCTTGGCCATGACATGACACCACCTTCGGCAGCAGGCGCTCTGTCAAAGTGCGCGCGGCCAGGTTTGGCCGGGGTTTTTCAGGCTGCCGGGAAGATCAGGAGGTTCACGAAAATTGACAGGCGAGCTCCCGAGCTCTTCTTTACGAATTCGTATCCAAAGTCCATGCGGGCGGCAGAAGTCCATGGTGTTTGCCCTTCGTCTCTCAAGCGTCTCCGCAGCAGCGCTCATGCCAGCAGCTTGGTAAGTGGCAGAGGCACGTGTTGCACCACAGCAATCCGCCTGACCTACGGTGCCGGGCGCGATCCAGTGCAAATTCATGTTCGTCGCCTCGTCGCCACTTGGCTGGGCCGGCTCGGGAAGCGTCCTGGGCTTTTGGAGCACGTGGGGTCTGTGTGGGATCGTTCTCTGGATCGCGTCAAGAAGGGCTGGACGTGGGTTCGGGGGCCCCTCAGCGCACTGCAGGCCACTTTAATTGATCTTGGATGGCAGATGCCCAGCCCTCGTACCTTTATCAACCCTTCCGGAGAGGAATGGGCGTTAGTGAATGGTGGTGACAGTCCTGCCACGCAGCTGCTGCAGGATCTAGATGACACCATCGAGACCGCTCAGTAGATCGAGGCCTCGAAGTTTATCTCGGGAAAGGTGCTGATCGAGGGGTTTCCTGGCAGCATGTAGGTGAGCTCACTAGACATTTAGTTAAAGAAGGCGAAGCTGACCTGGCCGCCATGGTGAGAGTTGTTGCTTGTGGCGGTTTTTGGCCAGAAGGGAGAAAGCATGAGTGCGCTCTTGTTCCTGACCCCATGTGCCAGCGCTGCCGGAGAGATGCCGAAACACCCAAACACAGAATTTGGCAATGCCCTTGCAATGCCGATGGCGAGCTTGTCCGGGTCCAGGCCAGTGAGCATCTCAGGCACGAGGCAGTCGCCGAATTCGACGCCTGCCCAAGCTTTTGGGGCCGGGGGCTCATACCTCTTGATTGGTTCTCCCTCCCTCCTCCGCCTGAGCAGCGTTTCCTCGAGTACCACGAGTGTGAGCCCTCGGAACCCAGGAGGGCCCAGAATCGAATCGATAAGTCGGATCGGCGATCGACATACATCGGATCGGCGGAAATCGGCAGCCGAGTCGGGAGAAGTCGAATCGGCGTGAATCGGCAGGCTGATAGGCCTCCATTGAGAAATCGGATCCCAGATCGAAATCCGAAGTCGAATCGAATCGGAATCGGAATCCATCGAAATCGAATCGAATCGAATCGGAGCAATCGAAATGAGTCCTCGGAACCCTTCCCTGGGGGCATTTACGGGGCTGACGGTGCAGGAGGTGCTTGGTCGAAGCATCCGGTGCTGCGCCGGGTGGCCGTCGCTCTCGTCGGGCTTGACGCTTCCGGGGATGTTTTTTTTATTGGAGCCATGGAGTCACGGGTCTGGTCGGGGGCAAAAGGCAGACGGTCCCAAGGGCTGAGCTGACAGGCCTGATTGAGGCCGTTCGCCATGTTGCCAAGAACGAAGACTTGACTCTTGTGTGTGATCAGATTAACCACGTGCACGCCTGCCGTAAAGGAAGGCATCCTACTTTTCGCCTTGCCGATGCAGATCTGTGGTGGGAATTGTGGCACCTTTTTGATTTGCGCACGGCTGAGACTCATCTTGTGCATTGCCCTTCTCACCTTGATAATGATGACAAGTTTCGCATGTTTTGGCGCACGTCGGTCGCAGAGCATGTTTATGTAAATCGTGCTGCGGACCATCTTGCTGACCAGCGTACCGAGTCTGCTCAGATCCAGTCTCATATCTGCTGGGATGTGCTAGCGATCCTGCTGCGCGAAAGGGGGGGATAGCAGAGGGAGGTTTTGAATCAGCTCACGCAGCCGATTTTCCTGGCACCTCCCGGCGCCGGGAGGCGACCAAGTATCGTGGAAGGGGCCCGGCGGCGGGGCCGAGACCGGCTGCACGCAGCAGATGTCGTACCCCCCCCTTTTCCCAACCCCCCCCTTCGTTCGGCCCGAACGATGACAGAGACGAGGCCGCTCCAGGAGGCCCGAAAGTGGCAACGACGACGGCCTCCACGACGACGACGCGCTTGACTACGAGAACGACGACGCCAGCGACGACAACGACGAGCGTGACCACGACGACGACCACCACCACCACCACCACCACCACCACCACCACGACGAGCATGACCATGCACGACCTCGACGACAACGCCCACGGCAAGAGCGACGGCCACAAACATAACTGCTCCCCGCGAGGCCTCCGGCGCGGCCGCGGCCGAGCCCAGGAGCGCTGCCAGCGCGGCCGCGGCGAGCATGGCAAGCGCGGGGCGGCCGGGTGGCCCGTGCGCACGTGCTCTGGGCAACAAGAAACACCTCGACCTGGAAGTACTCTGCGGGAGTGGGGCCGCATGAGGCAGCGGCATACGATGTAAAGAATACGCTATTCCAAACCATCCTGTGGTTTTGGGTCCTCGTTTCGAAGAGAGCGCCCTGCGTTCCTCCTCTCCTCTCTTATCCTCTCTCCTCTCCTCTCCTCTCCTCTCCTCTCCTCTCCTCTCCTCTCCTCTCCTCTCCTCTCCTCTCCTCTCCTCCTCCCATTCCTGCCACAGCCCTACGCATGTCAAACATTTCGGCACCCACTTTACGGGATTCGTAGCCCCATAAGGAGCTCCACCAAGGGGCCCAGTGGCAGGGCCCGCATGCGCCCGACGCCCATGTCGGCACACCCCTCACACGTTCCGTGGCCCTATAGGGAGCTCCACCGACGGCCCCAGCGGCAGGGTCCGCATGCGCCCGACGCTCCATCTCGGCACACCTCTCACACGGTTCGTGGCTCCATAGGGAGCTCCACCGAAGGCCACAGTGGCAGGGTACGCATGCGCCCGACGTCAATTTTGGCATACCCCTCACACGGTTCTTTGCCCCATAGGGAGCTCCACCGACGGCGCCAGCGGCAGGGTCCGCATGCGCCCGACGCCCATGTCGGCACACCCCTCACACGGTTCGTTGCCCCATAGGGAGCTCCACAGACGGCGCCAGCGGCAGGGTCCGCATGCGCCCGACGCCCATGTCGGCAAACCCCTCACACGGTCCGTGGCCCTATAGGGAGCTTCACCGACGGCCCCAGTGGCAGGGTCCGCATGCCCCCGACGCTCCATCTCGGCACACCTCTCACACGGTTCGTGGCTCCATAGGGAGCTCCGCAGAAGGCCACAGTGGCAGGGTACGCATGTGCCCGACGTCCATTTTGGCATACCCCTCGCACGGTTCGTTGCCCCATAGGGAGCTCCACCGACGGCGCCAGCGGCAGGGTCCGCATGCGCCCGACGCCCATGTCGGCACACCCCTCACACGGTTCGTTGCCCCATAGGGAGCTCCACAGACGGCGCCAGCGGCAGGGTCCGCATGCGCCCGACGCCCATGTCGGCAAACCCCTCACACGGTCCGTGGCCCTATAGGGAGCTTCACCGACGGCCCCAGTGGCAGGGTCCGCATGCGCCCGACGCTCCATCTCGGCACACCTCTCACACGGTTCGTGGCTCCATAGGGAGCTCCACCGAAGGCCACAGTGGCAGGGTACGCATGCGCCCGACGTCAATTTTGGCATACCCCTCACACGGTTCTTTGCCCCATAGGGAGCTCCACCGACGGCGCCAGCGGCAGGGTCCGCATGCGCCCGACGCCCATGTCAGCACACCCCTCACAAAGTTTGTGGCCCCATACATCCTCAGGACGAAAGTTCTTCCCTCTTGGGCCCGGAACGACGGCTTGAAGTCTTGAGCAGACGCGTCTGAGATAACCGCCATCAGATCCCATGAAGTTCGCGCGGAACCGAATGTGGCTTTGGTGTTTGTTCCGGTGGATCCGATTTCCGTCCGCGCGGATCCGATCTCGGATTTGCGGGATCCATGTTAGGTCTTATGTTTTACGGCAGGTCCGATTTTTACCCTGTTTAAAATTTGTACTATTAACTTAAAACAGCGAAGCGGAGGAAATTGGATCCGCGGACCCCGGAACCCGCCTGTGTTAAGATTCAAGGGGGGAAAGGGGTTCGGTCATGAACTTCCAACTCATCATCGCCATTTGCACCTCAAGAGGAAAATCTTTCGTACGAGGGAGAGGGGTTCGGTCATTGACTTCCAAATCAGCAACGCCATTTGCACCTCAACAGGAAAATCTTTCGTCCTGCGTAAGAAGGGAGCTCCACCGACGGCGCCAGTGGCAGGGTCCGCATGCGCCCGACGCTCCATCTCGGCACACCCCTCACACGGTTCGTGGCCCCATAGGGAGCTCCACAGACGGCGCCAGCGGCTTGGTCCGCATGCGCCCGACGTCCATTTTGGCACACCCCTCACACGGTTCGTGGCCCCATAGGGAGCTCCACCGAGGGCCCCAGTGGCAGGGTCCGCATGCACCCGACGCCAATTTCGGCACACCCCTCACACGGTTCGTGGTACCCACAACGCGGTACTCACGACAGCGTCTGGTTGGTTCCTTTGCCAGGATAATGTTTTTGTTTGGGTGGTGGACCTTTGGCTTCAGAGGGGGCCCGTGCTAGGCCCCACTGGGCACCCATGAGGTAAACATGTCGTAAGCGTCGTAAGCCGTGCAATTACGGCATACCGGCAACAATGCAAACAGTCATAAGAATCCGCTTCAGAACTTTGTATTTGACAACACCCTTCTCCAACCCCCCCTGGAGTAACACCCTCCCCCAGGGGAGGTGCATCGCACCCCCCTGGAGTAAAGCCTTTCCCCAGTGGCGTTGCATCGGAGAGCGTGGCACGCACAGTCACCTGGACACCACCATGCCTGCCCAAGACTTCCTGGGCTCTGGCATGGTGGTGTACAGATACAGTCTGTGAAAACCAATCGGTTGGTCCTTCCCTGAGTTTCTGGGCCTCCAAAGGCCCGCTCCGAGCTCTGGGGCCGTCAGCGGTCGAGCGGCGACGCAAGCAAGCACCCCCAAAGGGGGGTCGACAGGGGGTTGCCAAAGCCTTTGGCAACCCCCTGTCGCCTCGTCACCAAAGCTGGCATACCCTGTACCAGCAACGCCTTTGCAAGGCGTTTCTGGTACAAGGCGTGCCAGCTCTTCGTGCCCTGCTGGAGCCCCTGGAAGGGCCCCGCAACGGGCGCCCTGGAGGCCACGAGGGCCGATCTGCCAGGGAAACCTTGGGCCAGCACGCGAGCCGAGAGAGTGCCAGCAGTCCGCGGCACAGAAAGACACGTCGGAGGTCTGGCCTCTTGAGGCGCACGGGAGGGAGAGAGGGTCACTGAGGGAGCAGCTCGCTGATAAAGGAGGCGGCCGCCTCCTCCTCCTCCTCCTCCTCCTCCTCCTCCTCCTCCTCCTCCTCCTCCTCCTCCTCCTCCTCCCCCTCCTCCTCCTCCCCCTCCTCCTCCTCCTCCTCCTCCTCCTCCTCCTCCTCCTCCTCCTCCTCCTCCTCCTCCTCCTCCCGTGCTCCCCGCTCGCGGGGCCCCGGGCCCTCGGCGGAAGAAGGAGGAGGCGGTTTCGAGGCGGACGGGTGGGCAGGACGTATCGGAGGGTGTGGACGGAGACGGGGAAGAGAAGGAGCAGGGGCGCCCAGCACGAGAAAAGGCCTGCACGGTTCGGGAGGAGGTCCTCCCTCGGAACGGAGCAACAAACGATATAAATTGATGTAGTCCGCCACGCAGGGGATCAATGTGCACTCGGCGCCAGAACCAGCCTGCTTGAATTGCACTCAGATGGATCTGGCTGTACTGCACCACGAATCGAGTCCCTCTGCAATGCGCCAATTCCTTTGAGGGCGGAATATCGATTTCGGATTACAGACGGATTCCTTTGAAGGGGCCCCAGGACACACAAATAAATACACCGGACTCACTTCTATAGCGCTCACTTCTATAGCGCTCACTTTGAAATTGTGGTCCGGAAGGGGCCGCACATGCAGGCACATGCCGCACAGTCGCATGCACATGCCCATGCAAATATACAAAAGCCTCAACAGCATTGCCGCACATGCGCGCACATGCCACACCGTCCGACGCACAGTCGAATGCACGGTCAAGCAAAACTCTGAAAGCATAGACGCACATGCCCGCACATGCCGCAGAGATGTCGCAGGCGATAGTGGCCTGACCACCTGAGCTCGGGGCATTTCGCAACCCAGAGTTCCGAGGATGTCTCAGGCAAGCGTGGCCGGATCACCATGGGGCAGGGCATCTTGGAAACCAGAGTGGCGAGGATGTCGCTGGTCAAGGTGACCAGACGACCATGGGGCAGGACACCTCCGAGGTCTGAGTTGTGAGGATGTCTCAAGCGAAAGTGGCCTGACCACCATGGGGCAAGAGATCTCTGAGGTCAGAGTTGCGAGGATGTCTCTGGGGAGAGTGGTCTGACCACCTCAGCCCAGGGCATCTCGGAGCCCAGAGTTGCGAGGATGTCTCAGGCAGGACTGGCCTGACCACCTGCTCAGGGCATCTCAGAACCCAGAGTTGCGAGGGTCTCAGGCGAAAAAGGCCGAGACACTATGGAGCAGGGCATCATTGAGGTCAGAGTTGCGAGGATGTCTCAGGCAAAAGTGGCCTGAACAGCTCAACTCAGGGCATCTCGGGCGAGGATGTCTAAAGCGAAAGTGGTCTAACCACCTCAGCTCAGGGCGTCTCGGAACCCAGAGTTCCGAGGATGTCTCAGGCGAAAGGGGCCGAGACACTATCGAGCAGGGCATCATTGAGATCAGGGTTGCGAGGATGTCTCAGGCGACAGTGGCTGACCACCTCAGCTCGGGGCATATCGGAATCGAGACTTGCGAGGATGTCTCAGGCGACCGTGGCCTGACCAGCATGGGGCAGGAGATCTCTGAGGTCAGAGTTGCGAGGATGTCTCAGGCGAAAGTGGTCTAACCACCTCAGCTCAGGGCGTCTCGAAACCCAGAGTCCCGAGGATGTCTCAAGCGAAAGTGGCCGGGCCACCATGGGGCAGGGCATCTCCGAGACCAGAGTTGCGAGGATGTCTCAGGCGAAGGTGGCCAGATCACTTCATGTCAAAGCACGTCGGCCTCCAAATTGCCGACGACGTCTCACGCGGAACTGGCCGGACGCGAACGCGCCGGCGTCCGGAGACGAACGCCGGCCCCGGCATTCTTGCACGTCCCGCACATGCACTGCACAGGTACGCACAGTATTCGCACAGGCCGAGCTCGCCGGTGGCCGAGCCAGGCCAGCGATTCCGAGATTCCCTGAGCTCGGGCCGTCAAGCCACTTTCGCCTGAGACAGCCTCGCAACTCTCACCTCCTCCTCCTCCTCCTCCTCCTCCTCCTCCTCCTCCTCCTCCTCCTCCTCCTCCTCCTGGCCGAGCCGAACAGGCAGGCTGGCCAGTGGCCGGGGGCGCCCGCCTCCTCCGCCCCCCCCTC